TCAAGTGGACCCCTAGTATATTAGACTTGAATGGGGAAGTCCTGGGTTTAAATCATTTGGCTGTTGTTTCACAGGGTTATTCTGGAAGATCTATGCATCAGTCCATTGAGATGATGCCAGTCTTTCATTGTAATGAGTAACTTGAAGGGATGAAGCTGTGGCTCAGTGGTAGGGCACCTGATTTGCCTGTAGAAGGTCCCAGGATGAATCCCTGTCATCTCCAGGTAAAAGGACCAGATAGTAGGTGACGTGAACGACCTCTGCCTAAGATCCTGAAGAGCTAGTCAGAGTAGATAAGATTCACCTTGATACACCAATGGTCTGACTCAGTATATGCATACTGTATATGCTTATGTATATAGTATATGCATACTTATACAGTGTTCTATATACTGTATATGTATATGTGTATATTTCCTTCAGAAAGGGCCCACCTTCAGTACTGGGCATTACAAATATCTATGTTTTCCAACTCAAAGCAATGGAAAACCAACTTTCGCCAGTAACTGAAACTTGTTTAAGCAATCAAAAGCCATTGGGGATGCTGAAAAGAAAGGATTTGCATTTCTGTTTTTCTCCTCCTTGCTCACAAAAACCCATTTCCAAGGAAGGCTGTTTTTAGAGCCAGTGGTGTGTGACAGACGAAGCTCAAGTGAGCGATCTTACCGAAATTTTTCAGGTTTGGAAATCAGCTCCTGAACGTGCTTCTGTTCAGTAGTTCGGCTTGACTGAAACAGAAGCCCCAAAGCTGCTAAGTCTTATGCCTAGCCACTTCCTCCTTCCCCCCCAAAATGAAAATGATTCCTAATAGGTATTCCTGTGCTGCCGAAATGATTTAGCATAATGCGCTGAATGAGATCGCTAAGTCAAAATATCTTTACCTAAGTGATTTTCTTGCTGTGTCTCTGAATGTCAGAAGGATAGAGGAGGATGTTGCATGCTGAATACCATTGCGAGTTTAGAAGTTTTACACTGAATAATTCATACTTGGGCGAGCTTTCCCTCCAGGTATAATGCAGAAAAGCTCAGCAGTAGTAATGACATTAGGCCTTCTACTTGGCTTATTTGATGCCAAGATGCACTTGGACCGCAAAATCACACCCATTGCACTTGTATTGCTCTCCATCGTTTGTCCAAAGATGGCCAACTCTACTGGGGAGAGCACTCCTCAGTTTTTCAGAACTGGAAAAGCATAATGCAGGTGTCCCCCAACTTTTTGAAGCCTGCAGGCACCTTTGGAATTCTAACACAAGGTGGTGGGGCATGGGCACAACTGCAGGATGACTTCTGTAGGAGGCAGAGCCAACCACAAAATGGCAGGGTGTGAGATTTTGTATAACTTCAACAGAAACTGTTCAACATTACAGGCAGAAGGTCTGTTTAACAGGATGACTTTGAGATCTGTACAGCCAAGCAGAAGACATACCGGGCAAAAGCCCCATCTAGCCCGGCCCACTTTCTTTTTCTTTTTTTTAAATAAATTTTTATTTAAAAAGTGCATACAACTTATACAATCGTAAAATTTTGAGAATGGAATCTTAACATTTCAAAATGTCTTACTATAGTATTCCATAAAGGATTTCAATAGTTACATTCAGTAACTGCACTTTTAAATAAAACAACATACTCCAAATAAAGCTAGTGTACAGATTCCTTGGAATTTCCTTATAACATGATAAAAGGGTTAATATGGGTCGCCAGGTGTTTTCAAAAGTGGTTACAACTTTAGGGGAGGGTGGACTCATAATATTTAAGGCAATCTTAGTCTGCACATATTTCTCCCAAATCTTTTTATACCATAATTCCCGGGTAGGAGACAGACACCTTCCAAAGCGAGGCAATCGAATATTTGGCTGCTGAAAGCAAAATCATTAAAATACATTGTTCTATATAAGAATAATGGTCTCCCACCAACTCCAAACCTAATAATAAGCATTCAGGTGTAAAATATAGGGAATGTCAAGTAATTAACTTTATGTTGTCAAGAACCATCTTCCAAAAAGTTTGTGGAACCGGGCAGAGGAGCCAACAATGTATATAAGACCCCTCCGCCCCACGACCTGCCCACTTTTCTAAACACACTTTGGTAGGTGCCGGAAAATGTGTTGGCAGGCACCACGGTGCTCTTGGGCACCACGCTGGGAACTGTTAGTATACTGACATGAACTTTAACCTCTCATGCATTGCTGGACTCCATGGGTGCGTTCAGACGGGCAGCTAATCCCGCCATTACGCCAGCTCAAATTTGATCCTGATCTTTTAAATCCATCCTTGCACAACTAATTCCCCGGGGGAATCTAGATGGCATCCACTGAAGAAAGCACGTGCGTTTTTGTTTTTTAAAAAACTTTTTGTGCATGCACTTAGGCATGATATCACGGCCTTGTTTATCCGTGCATGTGCAGAATCAAGGATTAAAAAATGGCACCTGTTTGGGATTGTCTGACGTCCGAGCATCCCGAACGGGCGCCATTTTTTAATTGTGCGCTGGAATGATCAGACGGGGGGCAAGTTCTCGATTGGCCTGTCAGAACCGAAAACTCCAGATTTTAACTGGTACCTCTTTAGTATGACTCCGAAGTGTGGCAAAACAGGATGCTCATGGAAGACGGACATTTCCCAGATGTTGATGTCTGGACATTACATTTAAATCCATGAGGCACTCATGCCTCGTGCGGATCTAAAGAGCCATCTGAACACACCCTATGATTAAGTTAGCATCAGCTAGCCACAAGAGCCCTGCTCACAAGTTACAGTGAACAGACATTTTGATTTGTGTACAGTTTACACTTGATTTCTCTTTATACAGATACTGAGTAATTCTCATGTGACATTCAACCCATGTACAGGTGCCTTCGGGGAGGGCGGGATAGAAATCCTAATTAATTAATTAATTAATTAATTAAACTCCAAATTTATCCTGGTACTAGTTCCAGGGTTATTTGTAAAGTGTGTGTGTGTGTGTTGGCTCTTTCTCACAAATGGGTGCTCACATATACTGTAATATGAGAACACAGCTCATGTCTTCGTAGATATTGAGAACATGTGCTCCGGTGATATAAGGTTGTCAACGAGGAGGCAGCAAACTGAGGATGTCATTTCTTTGCTGGAAGATGCTGATTGGCAGTGGTCTGTCACTTTTTCAGAACATGCAGGAGACAGCAATACCCAAAGAATGTAGACGAAATCATGTGAGCCAAGCATTTTCACATGCCTTGATTCAGTTTTGGTAGGGTCACCTGGGCCACATTTGGGTTGTGACTTTTTAGTTGCTTGTTTCTGACCTTCATCTATACATCTCAAAGTGCAAAGCAGCACAGATAGCTGCCACAAGAAAGAGTAAAATTCCCATTCCTACAACCTCTTTCACCATTTACTGCAGCTATTTCAACGGGATAGCAACAAAACAGACCTTTGGATAAAAGTATTTATATATCATTTCTGATCTACGATAATTGTACTATAGAACAAAAGTTTCTAAACAGAAGGCCTGAACCCACAGGTAACATGAGCCTTGGGGTTGGGTCCCCATCATTTGTAACCATTGATACCGGGAATTAAAAATCACAAGGAAGGGCCAACTATTCAGGGTTGCCATTGGCTTGGCATTGGAGCTGAGCCTAAACTGTGGTGGGTGAGGAGTTGCCTAGACATTTTCTTCCCACGTGTGTCTCACCCTTTCCTAAATTGGAGAAAGGTAGTCAAATGGGAGTGAAAATGGATGCCCCATCATCCATACACCAGCACTCTAACGTTGATGCCCCATGAATTCCCAAGCCCCTTCAGTAATACCTTCAATTAGTAGTTTCTGTTAGTAGTTTCAATCACGTGCTGCTTTCTGACTATTTTTTTGTAAAACAAAAGGGGCCGTCTTCCTAGGAACTATGAGGTCACAATTTAGCCAATCAAATCTGGCTATGTGAAGATGTAACTGAGGGCAGGAGAGGCTGATGGGGAATTGCTTTGTTTGCCTTTAGTGAAATCACCACTGAGCCAGATCTGTTTGGCTACAGGACAACCTTGTGGTTTCTAGGATGAAGTCTATATAAAGATGAAGAATATATAAAATATAAAACAAAACCAGACAAACATGACACTGAAGTGACAGCCTATCAGATGAGTGAACAGGAACACACTAGGGGGTATTGGTTTGCCCCAAAATTCGGATCCTGAAAAAAATGTAGCCTACTGACTGGCACTCGTGTTTATGCTTTATCCCCTTCATCCTGACCATGTAGAAACATAGTTTTAAAATACTGTTTGGAAATAAATAACCAGGGGTGCCACTGTGCTCTCTAGTAAAAGCCATTGACCAAGCGCCCATTGATTTTGATGGAGCAAGATTGTTCCCCAGGTGTTTTGTCACCATTTTTATTCTGAATTTGCAAATCTGGCAGAACTCACTTTCAAAAGCAGGCATTTAATTTAATTTAAACATGGACAATGGAGGGCATCTCAGCTGCTTACACAAACAAGCATTTAGAGGTAAAACTTGCTGCGACCAGGGCGAGATCCTTCTCAGTGGCGGCCCCTACCTGGTGGAACGAGCTCCTGGAGGAGATCAGGGCCCTGCGGGACCTTATGCAGTTCCACAGGGCCTGCAAGACGGAGCTCTTCCACCAGGCTTTCATATAGGGGCCGCCGCTGCCACCACCACCAACGGAGGCAATACCATCGGGGTTTCAGATCGCCCTGGGATGCTCAGCCATACATTGTGCGGCATGAACAACATGGGATTGGAATGATCTGCTGGACAGTGGTACCCCAAATGGGGCTGGCTGGAAGATGCCACCATAACATCTAAGACCATCTTGTCTACTGAAGCACTTTTTACTGTTATTATTGATATATTGTTATAGTTATGATTGTAATGTTTATTGGATTTTATATATGGGCGTTTGCCCTCTTGTTAGCTGCCCTGAGCCCGCTTGCGGGGAGGGCGGGATAAAAATACCTAAATAAATAAATAAATAAATACATAAAATAGAGCTGAGACTTACCTCATCATAGACATTGTCATTTCGGCTGAAATCGCCAGTCTTCCTTGGAAGTACGTGGACATGGACATGCTAAAAATCAAAACATAATCAAACACAAAGAGAATTATTTTGATGATCAGTTTTCAATGACACTGAATTCTGCCTCCAAAGGTTTTCACCCCAATTCATTTATTAAGGAATTAAGCCCTTAAGAACATAGGAAGAGACCTGTTGAATGAGGCCATTTATTCATCTAGTCAAGCATCCTGTTTCTCATAGTGGCTTGCCAAGTGCCGTGGAGGGCCAGCAGACAGGACCTAAAAGCCATGGCCTCTCCTGATGTTGTGTTTTAACTATGAATGCCAGATGTCCTGCTATGGCAGGAAACCTCCCACCACCAGCCCTTACTGAATGTTAGCTGCATAATGTGTCTTTTGTAGGACCGGCAAAAAAAAGCATCCATACAACTATTAAGAAAGCTGTCCCCCTTTTTGGAAGACTTCATGTAAGGAGAAGCGGGCTTTTAGTTCTGGAAACTCCCGTTGGGGCTTGACTTTTCAAACACTGATGCAAAAGGGTCTGATAGTTATCAATCTGTATGTACTGAATGTTATTGCTTATTGAATGTAATGAGTATTTATACCAGACTAGGATGAAATAATGATACACTATGCACTTTACTAAATGATGATTATAAATAGAACACATTAGTTTGTTATAAGGTTTTTGCCGTGTATATTTATTTGTTGCTAGACCACTACAAGCACAGCAGGAGTTTTTTTAAAAAAACCTCCATGTTATGTGCACTGCTACATCACTTCCAGGGGAAAACCCAGAAGTGGCATAGGGTAGCTCTAAGAGTTGCTGAAAACTATATGGTTTTACCATAGAGTTTGCAATGATTCCTAGAGCTACCCTATGCCACTTCTGGGTTTTTCCTGGAAGTGACATATCAATGCACACAATGTTCCCACCCCTGAACAGGGGTCATTTCGGGGGGGACGTGGGGGGGC